TGCGCCTGATGCCATGAGCGTGGGCGTGTCGGCGGCTGCGATGGCGCGGCGACGTTCGGCGCCGCCTCTGCGACGTCTTTGCTGGGCATGGCATGCGGGGCGGGGCGCCCGCCGCCAGCGGGCGAACGGTGCCGCCGCGTGGCGAGAGAATATGGATGATATGGGGGGCCGCCTGCAAGGCCAGTGCGATGAGCAGGAATGCTGTTGGGCCGCTGCAGACCCCCCGGCGTGGCAGCGCGCGGAAAGCCGAGTCCTGCGGGGCCTGCCCCTTGGAGGCAGTGATATGGAAACCATCTTGGCCGCGAGCCAACATGGCCACGGAAGGAGGGGGGGGCGCGGGGGGGGGGGGGGGGGGAAGCGGGGGGGGGGGGGGGGGGGGGGGGAGGAGGGGGGTATTTTTTTGCATCCGCGGCGAACGACCCCTCGGGTGGGGCTGGCTGCTCATCGGGGGACGCGAGCAGGAGACTGCTCGCGAGAAACGATCAAAATCCCCGAAGGGGCGCGGCAACAAGGGCGCCTCACACGCACGCGCGCCTGCGGCGCACCGCGCAAAACGCCCGTGCGAACTGGCAGCGAGACATCGCATGTGGAACCGACGATCGGGCCGACCACGCGGGTCCAAGACCCCTGCCAGGGGGGGGCCTGTGATCAAAAGACCAATGCGCGTGTGGCCAGGGTCGGGGGCACTTTGCGTCGGGTGGTAACGTGCCGAGCGGAGTAGGGGAAGAGGCCGCTCCAAGATCGGCCCGACTCGCCGCGAGCTCGGCGCTCGCCTGTGCGGCCAGGGCAGACTGTCAGATGCGCGGGCGATGGTTCCTGGATATAAGACGCTAGCAATCGCCGCGGGCCTGCGCGCCGAGAGGCGGGCAATGGCCGCAGGCAATGAGAGACTATTCCCGCTCCCAGCCCAGTGGCGCCCCCGCCGCCGCCGCCGAAGGATCTGGGGCAGACTGTTTCGAGATCGGCTGTGGCCCCGACCTGCTTGTGGTCTGGGTGGGGTCTTTCCTGGAGTCGATCGGGCGGCTGGCCCCGACATTTACGAGAAAGCAACCCCGTGTGCCCGCCTGTGGTCCATGCGGCGCGGGCCGGGCATCTGTGCGCGACACTATAACCACTCGCGTCAGCTGCCAGGCAACGGTGCTCAAGCTCCCGCAGCTTTGCGGGGTCGATGCGGAGCGCGCGGTTGCAAGTCCCAGGGGCAGGTTTCGCAGCTGCCGTGGATCCCCGCGTGCATTGAGTGCGCTGCCAAAACCTGCCGAACCAATTCCATCCGAGCGGTGGCCTCGGATATTGCTCCCGCGGGGCGGTGGGCTCCGCGCGGGCGGCCGCGTGCGGCGCGAGAGACGGGGCGCGCGACTTCGATTCCTTCTGGCTCAGCGCTGGACATGCACGGGTGAACCATGGCTCCTCCTTTGGTTGCTGTGTTGGCAGCGTTGTTGCCGATGGGGTGAAACCTCTCGGCCCAAGGCGAGGCCGAGTAATCATTTCGACGGGCCAGAATTTTCGAGGGCCCGCGGAGAGAACCCTGGGCGAAAACCTCAGTCTGCGCGGCCGAGCCGCCGTTGGGCCTGTGCGGGTGCAAGCGTCCCCGCGCGCTTGTACAGCGCCCGTGCGCGACAACGTGGCAGTCCGGGTAGATATCGGCTTCGGCCCCGAGGCGAGACGCAGCACTCGCTGAGGCCGCGCGCTCCGTCGCCGCACTGGTCTGGGGATGGGGGCGTCCGAAAGGCCCAGACAATCCAGCTAACGCGCGCCCCGCCTCGCCGAGCTAAGCGAATCCCCAGCCAGAACCGGAGATGTTCTTAATGACAGAACGGACACATGGGCAGTCGCCGCGCAGTCGTCCTGAGAGCCCCCTCGCCCCTGGGCGAGGCAGAGGAAGATGCTCCTCGGCAAAAGCCTCAGAGAAATATTGAATCTGAACAGCAGACGTCGTTTTTCCGGAGAGAGAAGCCGGGGAACGTCCTAGGCAGGGCGCTAAATAAGCCCGTCTCACAGAGCAGCGCAAAACGAGGAGATGGGTTCGAGAACTCCTCTCGAACTCGCATCAAAAACGCTTCTCCAACAATTCGGGTCCTGCCTTCCTCGCGCGCTGGGCAGTGCCGCAGCGTGTGGGGCTCCGTGTCTCCAGGCTGGCCACGCCGCAGGCGTGCGTCATCAACGATGTAACCCTTGGCCGCAGCTCTGCTGAGCGGCCGCGCAGCATGGCGCGTCGCGGCCAGCGCAGTTTGTCTCTGCGGAGACGGGAACTACTTAGAGGAAGGGGCCTTCATCACAACATCAGAGCACAGGCAATAGCTATCGCTCTGTTTCGAACTGGCATCAACCTCCAATCATTTTAAGACAGAATCTTCGAAGGGGTGCTTGAGAAGGGAGGGGGAGCTAAGCATGAGAGGACTAGTCTTCCCGTCTGCGATGGTGGATGGGTCTAACGTGGACCAGTTTATACGCTTCAAAGACAGGTGCGTGGCTCCCAGCTGACCTCTGACTGACCTCCAAGACTTGGGTGGCGAGAGCCACGTAGTATTCCAAGCCCGCCTAGTCTGATCCCTTGACAAGGCTCACGGGGTCGCGTGCGTCTTGAGCAACCAACGCCCCTAGCTGTACTTGACTATTGGGGCAACGCTCCCGTGCCAAGCTCGACCGTTCTCAATGCGGGCGAGGATCGCAAGGCTCCGACTTCCACTCGCGAGTCTCATGGTTGATGCGCACATCTCGCGAACTTTGGCCAACTCACCATCCGTCATCCCGTGGGCGTCGGAGCCGTGCGGCAGGCCCGCCAACGGGCCCGTGGTGCGGTGAACACCTTAGGGGCACGACGGCCAAACACTGGGCGTTGTCTCGCATGACGGCGAGTCCTGCGAGCGGCAGCTGAAAGCCTGGCTTTCGCCTTAGCATTACGGCCGCGAACCTTCCGAGGAAACCCGGCAGTGACGTCGATCCCCAGGTTCACCGTCGTTTCCTTTCTGGGCCCCACAGGGGCCTCGGACTCCTCCTAGACCCTTGCCAACACGCACCTGGAGGACGCAACGAACGCAACCTCGCCAATGGAAAACTGGGCCTGCACCGTGTCCGTGATAGCAGCTCGAAGAGGCTCAGCTGCCTGAGAAAGGCTGGGCATAACGTGATTGGCCGTGCCTTCGCAACTGAGCGCCAGATTGTTGGTGTAAATGGCAAGAACAATGCTGTGGGCAAGATGAGCCGAATCGGACGATCCAATCCCGATCACTTTGATCATGGTGGTCTTCGAACAGCCAACCACCGCTCCGAACTCGGCATATCATGCTGGAGCTACCACTTCGCACAGAACCATGATTTGGGCCGATTGGAAGGCGCATACGCGCACTCCGAGGGGCCCCGGGTGAAAAATAAGCCTGCGACCGCGCTGATCGAGCGGCGCCGGGTGGATCTATCTGTTATGTCTGAACATGTCCCAAAAGAGGCCTCCGGAATGCAGCTGCGAGGTCGTGCTGATTTCGCAGCTTGACGCCAGGCCATGTCCGTGGCCGAGCGATGCTTCCCCGCGGCCCAATAGGGCTAAAGGAAAGGTGGAGGGTTGAAATTCGTCAAACTGAAACCACAAAAATCCGCACCTGCAGTGCGCCGTTCTGGAGATATGCAGTTGTAAGCGCAGGCGCAAAGCCTGAGCCAAAACGTCTGGAGGAGGAGGAGGAGGAGAAGGAGGAGGCCTGGTATGAACCCAAGACGCATCAACGCTGTTGCAATGAAGCTTTCGTCTAAATTCCGTTGTTATAGGTCCATACAGGAATTGTCATCATTGCGGAAGTGGCCCATTAAAATCAACCGTCTGCGAACTCTCAAACATGCCAAAACGCATGTCCTGGGGCTCCAAAGCCGCGGATCAACGTGAATGTTGCGTCGTGGCAATCCCAAGCCGCGCGAAAATACCGCCCGGTACTTCAACACATCGACTCCATGTGCCTGTTGCGTCCTGGCAACTATAAGACCCTGTCAAAACAACATTCCTGGAAATTCGACCGTGCAAATCCTTAAGGCTGTTACGGACTTTGAAAGCGAATGCGCGCAGTGCTACAGCGAGAACCCCAGTGTGGAAAATCATCGCCCTCCATCCGCGAAGCTGTGGCACAATTTCAAAACGAATGTGTGCGCCGCTCAAGCGAAAACAACATTTACAAAATAACCTGCCCTCGATTGGCGAACTTTTATAACGCATCTGCGCGGCGTTGAACGATCACCGCATTTTGGGAATCAACCGCTCTCCATATGTGAAAAAGGTGCGCATTGAAAAATGAATGCCCGCAGCGCCACGGCGAGAACCCCATTTGAAAAGGAACCCTCCCTCCATCAGTGAAGGTGTTGCCGATTTCAGGCTTCAGAACCGTAAATGGTGCAGAAACCTCAAACGAAACGCCCGGCCCGCCCTACCGACAAGTCTGGGGGTGCAACAGGGAAAAATTCTTTATCATACATCCCCAGGCCGAAAGTTTTTCCCTCTTGGACTCAAAATATGAGAACAGCAATGGATCCAGTTGGATCCCTTTTCGGGTGTGGGAGAGTTTCGTGGATCCTATTTCTGTGTTGCGCGGATCCAATTTCCTGTGTGAAAAAAAAAACGATGGATCCATTTATTTCCCAGAAACAAATATATAATAATAATTAACATCCGGGACCCAAGGGAAATGGGATCCGCGGAGCACCGCAAGCGCTGCCAAGGGGGTTCAACGCAGATCCAAAATATCCGCGTGGAGCTATGAGAATTGAGCGACGATCGAAAGCGGGTCTTACGCAAGATGACGTAGCGACCTCACGCGGTGGCCTACGCGGGTCGCTGGCGCGGCACGGTGCGTAAGGGACGAGGGCGCTTGCGCGCGACCCTACGCGGGCAGCTTACGCGCCAACGTCGGCGCATACGACACCGCTTTCTTGCGTCGCTCCATTTCTGCTTCTGGAGCTTGTGCTCCTGTCTTCGTCCGGAGCGCGGTGCGGCCCAGCTGCGCGGCTGCGGAAACGGGCGGTTCCTCCTCCGAGCACTCGCCGCCCTTGCAGAACGTCTTGGTGGGGGGCTGCACGAGGGCCTGCCCTTCTGGGCACTTCCAGCCGAGTGCGAAGTCGCGGCAGTTGGCCTCTCGGCACGGCGGGGGAGGGGCAGGCGCTGGAGCCTCTTCCTCCTGCAGCGCAGTGGCCGCACGCAGTGCTCACCCCTCCACGAGAGGCGATATGGAGGAAGGCTGAATGGGGGGGGCGTAAAAATTGGGCCAGGCCCAGAAACCGGCTCAGAGGAACACCACTTTGGACCGCCCCATGGAGAAGGGAACTACTGTGCCGTGATGAAAGTTCGTGGATCTTGCAGAAGGTCGGTCGGTGCGTGTCCGGCCTGCGAGCGCGGATGGCGCGTCGTCCGATTAGGGACAATGAGCCTGTTACAATGTGAACGGGGGGCGGCGGGGAGGGGGGTGGCAATCTGAGGGTTGGAACCAGGTTTGGACCCTCAATTTCATTTTTATAAAGCTAAACGGCATGGCGGTTCCCAATCGCAGAACCGCGTAGGATTTCGTAGCCCAAATACATGGCCTTCTTGACGGTTCCAAAGCGGTTGCAAACTATTGGAACAACGAGCGTTTCGCTTGGGACTTCCTCGTTAACAAGATTTGGAACCTGATTCCAAACAATGGGGTGGCGGCTCCAAATCGCAGAACCGCGCAGGATTTCCTCGACAAAATGGTCTTCTTGACGGTTCCAAATCGGTTCCGAACAGTAGAAATCGGTTGCAAACAATTGGAACAACGAGCGTTTCGCTTGGGACTTCCTCGTTAACAGGATTTGGAACCTGGTTCCAAACAATGGGGTGGCGGCTCCAAATCGCAGAACTGCGCAGGACTTCCTCGACAAAATAACTGCTTTGCCAGTTCCAAAGCGTTTCCAAACAATAGTAGTCGGTTCCAAACTGTTGGAACAACGACGTTTCGCTTGGGACGTCCTCGAAAATAAAATTTGGAACCTGCTTCCAAACAGACTGCCAAGGGGGACGCCTTGGGGCCAGGGTGGCCGGTTTGAAGAGCTCGTGTTTTAGAAGGGGGGAAGGCTATAGTTTTTTTGTTTACTCCTGTCGGGGCTTTGCGGGCCCTACTTCAGGGATTGGCCGGCGCGGAGGCGAGAGCACTGCTCCGCCGACACTTGCGCTCCCTCCTCCCTCCCTCGCTCTGCGTCGTCGTGCTTGTCGTCGTGGTGTGTCTGTGTGTGTCATCAGCATTACCGTCGGCGCAGCGCCTCAGTCCTCTTGCAGGGCCTCCTCGGCACATCCTCCTCCTCCTCCTCCTCCTGCTCCTCCTCTTCCTCCTCCTGCTCCTCCTCCTCCTCCTCCTCCCTCCTCCTCCTCCTCCTCCTCCTCCTCCTCCTCCTCCTCCTCCTCCTCCTCCTCCTAGTTCTCATTGTCCTTCCGCCTCCCTCCTCCTCCTCCTCGTCTTCCTGCGTCCTCCTGCGTCCTCCTGTGTCCTCCTGCGTCCTCCTCCTTCCTCCTCCCTCCTTCCTCCCTCCCTCCTCCCTCCCTCCCTCCCCTGTTCCGGAAGTCTCCGGATGACTTCAAAGGTCTTCGGAGGTCTCAGGAAGTCTCTGAAGGTTTCCAAAAGCATCCGAGGTTTACTTCTCCGAAATCTCCGGATTTTCCGGAAACGTCCTGGGGTTTTCGGAGGCCCGAGGAGGTTTCCGGACGTCTGCGGAGGTTCGGAGGCGTCCGCAGGAGGCGCCGCTCCTCGGCACTCCTCGCCAGTCCTCTGGACTCCTCCTGCTTCATGAGCGCTCCTCCCACTCCTCCTCGGCACTCCTCCTCCTCCTCCTCATCTTCCTCATCGTCCTCTTCACTCCTCGGCACTCCTCTCCTCGGCACTCCTCCTCCTCCTCCTCCTCCTCCTCCTTCCTCCTCCTCCTCCTCCTCCTCTTCCTCATTTATCTTCTCCTCCTCCTCATCCTTCTCTGCACTCCTCGGCGCTCCTCGCCAGTCCTCGGCACTCCTCGGCACTCTCTGCACTCCTCGGCACTTCCTCGGCGCTCCTCCCACCCCTTCTCGGCACTCCTCCTCCTCCTGCTCTCCTCCTCCTCCGCCTCATCCTCCTTATCTTCCTCTCCACTTCTCGGCACCCTCTCCACTCCTCGGCACTCCTCCTCCTCCTCCTCTTCCTCCTCCTCCCCCTGCTCCTCCTCCTCCTCCTCCTCCTCCTCATCCTCTCTCCACTCCTCGGAACTCCTCTCCACTCCTCGGCTCTCCTCCTCCTCATCCTTCTCCCCCACCTCCTCCTCCTCCTCCTCCTCCTCCTCCTCCTCTTCCTCCGGCTTCCATCGCACTCATCGGCGCTCCTCCCAACTCCTCCAGAATCCTCCGAACTCCTCCCCAATCCATGGGTCCCCCTCCGCGCCGCCCTCCGCGCTCCCCAGAATGCATGCTCGTTTCAACGTACCTTTGATCTATCGTATTGTTGTGCTCTGCGTGCTGGAGATGCGTTCGCAGGCGGCTGGGTGCTCACAGTCACAGAGGTGCTCATGCGTTGTTGGATTCAGGTAGTACTGGTTCTATGTTGGTGCAGCCACTGCCACAGCACAACGAACGTGAAGGAACCGCCAACTGATGCCACAACGGCCTTTCAACACATCATAGCCGTCAGCGCCGCGACGGCAACAAGAAACAAAAACTTTGATCACGCCCATGTATCAGCCTCAAGTTGGGCTCGCTCTGTAAATCACCTTGGGCAAACCCCCCAACTGGAGGGCGAGAGGGGAAGTGAGGAGCTCCACAGCCCACTTAGCCCTGGGCGCCGTCGCGCTGGGGCCTTCTGTGTCCTTCAGCGCAGCGGCTGCACGCACAATATCACAACAGAGGGGCGAGAAGGTGAGGCGGAAGAGGTCAGATGCTCGTGCTGGAGACCTTCCTGAATTCTTGAATCGCACTTGACTCGAACTGGAACGTGCGCCAGCTTGAGTCGAACTTGTCGAGCTTGAGTCGAAAAGATCAGTTACGTGGCCTCCAAGAAGGTCCCCCAAACGAAGGTCTAAAAGAGGGTTGGAGGGCGAGAAGGAAGATGAGGAACTCCTAACCCCACTAACCCTGGGTGCCGGCAGCGCAATTTTCTGCCACCACCCCCTGCCAGGCTTCCATCCGCCCTGGTCGCCGCCAGCGCTGTTTGCCACTACTAGCGCATAGTTAACCCCCCATCACCCCATGCCACTAAGTTGGGCCGTCCGAGACTCGTCGCCGACTTTCGCCCTGAATAGCCCCATGCCCATGCTTTGCAAATTTTGCCACGCCGCGAATGTTTGATGCCGTCCTCCACGCGCCAGTATGATCAGTTTGCGGGGGGGGGGGGGGGCAGAGAGGGAGGGAACGAGAGAGAGAGAGAGGGAGAAAGCGAGAGAAATAGTGAGAGAGGAGCAAGAGGGCTGAACGGACAATGTCCTAACACACATGACAATAGCTGCGGGCCCAAGCATGGATGCCACGACGGAGGCGCAATCGCATCGCAACTCTGGCAGTGCAAGCCCCCAGGCTGCGGCCCAATGGCCTTGGGCTCGCAACACGCAGCCTTGTCCTCATCGGTGCACTTAAGGCCTGGCCCGCCCGCCAAAGTTGCTTGTTTGAATTACCTTCCTTTTATAAATACGTGTATCGTGTCTGTTTGTCTGTCTGTCTGCTTGTCTGTATGTGTATGTGCATGTGTATGTGCATGCATGCGTGTATATGTATGTGCATATGTATGCATGCATGTATGTTTGTATGTATATAAGCACGTTTTTAACACATGTACATATGTTGTGTACATGTATGTCTGTATGTGTGTATGTTTGTATGCACGTTAATGTATGTATGTGCGCAGGTAGGTCGGTAGGTAGGTCGGTAGGTAGGTAGGTCGGTAGGTGTGTAAGTGTGTGTGTGTGTGTCTGTTGCATATATGTATACTCATATATATATATATATAAATATATTCACACACACATATATATATATATACATGTAGACATATGTATATATACAGATGTATACACATATCAGCCGCCCCCCTGTAGGGCCACAAGGCTGTAGGGCAAATGTTTACTGCTCCCTGCAGCAGTTGCAGGTTCCAGTTTCCAATGTGATAGTTCTGCTCTTTTGTTGTATCACTTTTCCTTGTTGTAAACCGCGCGAGGGGGGGGAGCCGAAAATCAGCCTGGTTAGCGTTTCCTGGGAGGGGTCTCAGAATTTCTGGGGGGTCGAAATTGATACCCCTCACGCAGATCGGCGGGGTCAGGGTCCAAAAACACATTGGATTTGCCACATTTCTGAAATTCGGCGGCACCCCTCACGCAGATAGGCGGAGTCAGGGCCGAACAACTTATTGAATTTGCTACATTTCTGAAACTCGGGGGCACCCCTCACCCAGATCCGCGGAGTCAGGGTCGAAACGCCAATGGGATCTGCCACATTTCTGAAATTCGGCGACACCCCTCACGCAGGTCGGCGGAGTCAGGGTCGAAAAACCAATTGAATTTGCCTCACGCAGATCGTCGGGGTCAGGGTCGAAAAACCCATGGTAGGGTCTGATAACACATTGGATTTGCCAAATTTCTGAAATTCTGTGGCACCCCTCACGCAGATGGCCGGGGTCAGGGTCCAAAAACAGAAGGGATTTAATCCATTTCTGACATTCGGTGGCACCTCTCACATAGATCGGCGGGGTCAGGGTCCAAACGCATAAAGGATTTGACACATTTCTGAAACTCGGTGGCATCCGTCACGCAGATCGCTGGGGTCAGGGTCGACAAAAATATGGATTTGTCACATGTCTTGACATTCGGTGGCCCCCCTCACGCAGATCGGCGGGGTCAGGGTCCAAAAATCACAAGGGATTTGCCATATTTCTGAAGTTCGGTGGCACCCCTCACGCAGATCGCCGGGGTCAGGGTCGAAAATGGGATTTGCCACATGTCTTGAAATTCGGTGGCCAGATCGGCGGGGTCAGCGTCAAAAAACACGGGATTTGTCACATATCTTGACATTCGGTGGCACTCCTCATGCAGATCGGCGGGGTCAGGGTCGAACAACATATGGGATTTGCCACATGTCTTGAAATTCGGCGGCACCCCTCACGCAGATCGGTGGGGTCAGGGTCAAAAGACACATGGGATTTCCAACATTTCAATACATAGTAGAACATATTTTTGCACAGCATACGCGAGCAAGCTCGAAATACAACACCGAATTCAACATCGACGCTGCTTCACGGCGGCGCCAAGGCCTCATGGTTTTGCTCTTGCACTGCCCATTATCAGAGGGAGGGGGCCGGCGGCAGCGGGCGAAGCCCTTACGTATCTGGCCGCTCCCGCCCTGCGGTGTGGGCCGTGCGAGACCTCTCTGACAAAGTGTTTGGCACAGTCTTTGGCCCTATTCGCCAGTGACTGGTCAAAAACCTCCCTGAAAGTCCCTCCGAGGGGGCCCCATTCTGCCGCCGGCCCCCCACCCGACCTCAAGGTCTCAAACAGCCTGGGGACGACCTAAGGGCGCCCCAAGCCGGTCCAAGAGAGTTCGGAGCAGTCCAAGAGAGCCTCCCGACGGTTCCAGATCGCTCCAAGAAGCCCAAGATGGCCTCCAGAAGGCCCCAGACGCCTCCAAGACGGCCCAAGAGGCATCGAAGAGCACCCCCAAGAGAACCCCAAGACACCAAAAACATGTATTCCCCACATGCTTCGTGGAGTTCTGGTTTTCTTCTCTGCCGCGTCTCACCCGCGCTCACTCACTCACCTCCCTCTTCCCCTCCTCCTGACAGCGCTGTTCAGCTCAGCCCAGCACAGCACAGCTTAGCACAGCTCAGCTCAGCTCGGCACAGCACAGAACAGCTCAGCACAGGCGTTTCTGCGCGACCTGCAGCCCGACGCTTAGCACAGCACAGCACAGCACAGCACAGCTCAGCACAGCTCGGCTCAGCACAGCTCAGCTCAGCACAGCTCAGCTCAGCACAGCTCAGCAGCACAGGGGTGGCACTTTCTCGACACCAGAGAGGGTGCGCAGGGGTGGTCCCTCAGCGCGGTCTCTATGCGTGCCAGGGTCGGAGAGCGTGGCAGGGGTGGCACTTTCTCAACACCAGCGAGGGTGCGCAGGGGGTGGTCCCTCAGCGCGGTCTCTATGCGTGCCAGGGTCGGAAAGCGTGGCAGGGGTGGCATTTTCTCGACACCAGAGAAGGTGCGTAGGGGTAGCCACAGGGGGTGCGCTGGGGGTGGGGGCCCTATGCGTTGCAGGCTCCCAGGGCGTGGAAGGCGTGACATTTCCTCGACGCCACAGGGGATGCGCTGAGGGTGGGGGCCGTATGCGTTGCATGCTGCCACGGCGTGGCAGGCGTGGCATTTCCTCGACGCCACAGGGGGTGCGCCGGGGTTGGGGGCCCTATGCGTTGCAGGCTCCCAGGGCGTGGCAGGCGTGGCATCGCTTCGACGCCACAAGGGGTGCGCTTGGGGTGGGGGCCGCATGCGTTGCAGGCTCCCAGGGCGTGGCAGGCGTGGCATTTCCTCGACGCCACAGGGGGTGCGCTGGGGGTGGGGGCCCTATGCGTTGCAGACTCCCAGGGCGTGGCAGGCGTGGCGTTTCCTTGACGCCACAGGGGGTGCGCTGGGGGTGGGGGCCCTGTGCGTTGCAGGCTCCAATGGCGTGGCAGGCGTGGCGTTTCCTCGACGCCGCAGGGGGTGCGCGGGGGGTGGGGGCCCTATGCGTTGCAGGCTCCCAGGGCGTGGCAGGCGTGCCATTTCCTCGCCGCCGCAGGGGGTGCGCTGGGGGTGGGGGCCCTATGCGTTGCAGGCTCCCAGGGCGTGGCAGGCGTGGCATTTCCTCGACGCCACAGGGGGTGCGCTGGGGGTGGGGGCTTATATCTTGTCAAGAGCTGTAAACACCTTGGCTCAAGCCGGCTCGGCGCGCCAGCGCACGTGGGCATGGAGGTGAGATTCACCGTCGAGGTGTCTAAACGCAAGAGCTTGGTCCAGGAGCAGAAGGCCACCATAGTGAGCTTCGTGTCCGAGAGCAGCGACCAGGTCAGGTACGACGCGTGCGCGCCAGGAGAAATCTTCCGCCCGCGCTTTCTGCCTGCCGGAATCTGGATGCAGGTGCACAAGTTTGAGAAGCAGAGCCCGGACGTGGTCGCCGCCCTCGCCAACTCTTTCGGAATCGACAAAGAGAAGGCGAACGGCCTGTTCTGTTTCCCGCTCATGGAGGCGAACTTCAAGTGGACAAGCGCCAACAAAACGCACCGAGTCAAGAGGTTCGCGTACGCGCTCACGCACGGGCGCTTCCTGACATCCACCGCGTCACAGGGCCAGACGATCCGCACCGGGGTGACCATCGACTGCGCGCAAGACATGAGCATTGGCAGACCGGAAGAGAGAGAGGATACCTGGTGGCTCCACCTGTACGTGATGCTCAGCAGAGCTACTTGCATGGAAGACATGCTCTTGCTTCGGCCGCCGCCACGGGAGGTCTTGCAGACGGGCCCACCTCCGTCCGTGCTCAAAGTTGATGAGCGCATGGCTACGGAGACGCGGGAGATCCAGGACCTCGCTCTGGAACGCCAATGGATCTTGCCCGCGGCGTGAGGTCATTGGAGCGCACGGCCGCCAGAGTCTCTCCGACGAAGGCAGCGCTGTCCAGCCGCGTCGAATTCGCGCGGCCCGCGCCGCTCCATGACGATTTCGGAGCGTCCGCCCAGCTTTGGGTGTCGTGGCAACCGCAGCCCAGAGATATTCCATCGAAGGGCACTCGCATGTTGCACGAAGGCGGGCCATGTTTGCCATGCAAGTTTTTTGCGCGCGCACCTCAGAGACTCTCCGTCGACGAGACGCGGCGATAGACGTGTGGAAACTGCATGGGACTAGAAAAAGTAGACCCACCGAACAAAGAAAGGGAGGCAAGGGTGCGGAAGAACGCAGCATGAGGCGAGGGAGAAAGGAAAACTCTAGAGGCTCCCTAGAGCGGCAATGCAAGGGGTGTGATTTGCACCAACTTCTACAGTGGGCCCCCTGACTACTCGAGCTGTGGCAAATTGTTCTGCATCACCTCATTGCTTGTTGCGACCCCAGGAAACGGCTCTCGGTGACCACCCCGAACTTTTTCCCGATGAAGGATGGAAGGCGGGGAAGAGGGAGGATGTTCAATCAGTGGTGTGATGGATGACAATATTGGGAAACGTTCGCGACGAGGGTTTAGAATGCAGGATTGCGCATAGATGATAATGAACAGCAAACACATAATATTCAAATTAAGTATGTGGGGTTCATCGGTAGCGTAATTTTTCAATTGTTTTTTGAAAGATTTTCACGTTCTCGCCATTTCGGCTTACCCACGCTCCAAGACGGCCCAGGAGGCCCCCAAGATCGCCCCACGACGGCCCAACAAGCGTCCAAGAGGGTTCCAAAGCTGAAGAGGGCCCCAAAAGGGCCGAAGAGGCCCCCGGGATGGTCCAAGAGGGGCCCCAGGACGGCCCCAAGAGGGCGCCCAGAAGGAGAACCCGAGTGAACCTTTCGAGCTTTCTGTGCAAGGAGGCCCCCAGGAGGCTGTAAGAGGCTCCCAGGAGGCCACCAAGAGGCCCCAAGAGA